AATAATATGGCTGAATGGGCCTGCTCTTTATTTTTATTCAATCATCCTTTTGTGAGGACTAGTCTTTAGCTGGAAACATTGGTAAAGGGAGTTGCCAGCAACACACAGTATCATTTAATATGGTAAAAAAAAGAAAGAAAGTAATCAAGTGACGAAAAAGGGACCAGCATCACTCTTTTAAAACTGCTAAAACAACATCTCATGTATTGGCCATCTGTCAACAAAGGCTCCTTGTGAATGAGTTATTATTTTTTGGATTAAGGTGGCCTCAGAGTGCACTCACAGACAGGAAATGATGGTGTTGAGATGTACTTAAGAAAGAATGCTAACATTACAGCATGCTGTAAAGGCATCGTAGTGTAGTAAAAGAGGTACTAGAGGAATTTAAAAAAAGAATCGATATCTGTTGTACAGTCACATAGTTTGTAAAAGTGTAACAATATGATCTTTATCATGCTTAGCTAAGCAAAAAAAAAGTAAATACTATCATCTCATTTGAAGAACATCTGCTTTTTCTTATGCATGGCCACAATATGTGAAGGCTCACTGGGAATACATTTCCCCAAACCTTTTGTTGTTGCAAATCATTCTGACAGCCTACATTTTTGCTAAGAAACGTGGCTATCCAAAAAAAATGGAAATATTTACATTATGAACAAGTTTCCTGGGAGATACTACATATAAACATCATATCAAATTAAAAAAAAGAATTCATTTCTAATGCCAGATTCTATCTGCATAATTTATTATTATTTGCAAATGGTGTAGAATGTGTTGTCATATCGCCATATACAGTGACAACCCCGAGGTTAGAGAGCTGAACTGAATGTTTGCATGTGCATGTTTGTTTATAGAAGACTTGAAACCTCTACTTACGAGGTGGCAAATTTATTAAGCTTTTCACACTTTCACCATGGTTACCATGGTTTGGTTTAGCAAACATACTGTAGTGGTGCAGCAGAAAACCACAATATTTCTATTAAATCCTAGATATAATTTACTGTTGGAAAGTGTCATGAAGGTTGTACCAAGAATAAAAATCTTATGCAACAACTGGTCAGTAAGTTCCACAGATAATTCCAATAACCCCAAATAATTAAATCACCAGCATTTCCTTGTACAGATACACCTTCAAGATACACCATATTTTATTGTGCTTTCCTTTACTTTCATTTAATCTTAAATCTTAAATACTGTATGTTTATAGCAAGGCCAAAATAAGCAATACATAAATATACTGTAAATGTCCACTTACAGCACCAGGTGTTTCATGCCAATTATAATTGTAAGATTTGTGGCCAACTCAAAGTAATCAAATTTGTATAAATAAATAATCTGAACTAATTTACTACTAGTACTAGGCATTTTGGAGAAACTACAGTAAATCACCCACAACTATAAAACAACTGAGAAGTTATTACAAAAAAAGTGCCAAAATCTTTTTTTCTAACAGATGCCATTATATTGAACAGAAACTCCATAAATTCAATATGCTAATAACTGTCTCAAGAATTACCAATAAAGGTTCTATTAAGACTTGGTTGAGTGTGTTAGTAGTGTATTGATAGTAGAAGCAATATACTGTACGCTGTTCACCTGTGACGCATGATTTGCAACAGATTGCATATGCTGTTCAGTGAGTTTACGTCCCATTCCTCCTATAACGCCTGGACAAGTATGTGCCTGTTCACTTGTCTCAGAGCCCTAGATGTCACACACCATCCCATCTTACTCCACAAATGTTCAATGGGGTATCCAAAGGTTAACTGGTCACATTCTCTTCTCACAAAAGAGATACCCTGGCAGACCGAGGACAAAGCTTGTCCTGCTGCAATGCTGTCACATTGAAATAGGCTTGGAGTCTGGGCAGAAAATGAGGTCCCAGGACCTGATCAAAGTAGTGCCATGCAGTCAGGTTATCATGTAATCACTACGGCTGGTGCTGTGCAGCAACTAAACAGGCTGTCTAGGTCACTGCTCATGGGTCTCCCCGTCTGTTATCTGTACACAATCATTTCTGTATCATTCTTCATGCCTGTGCCACACACACTGACATCCATCAAGATGTCTCTATAAAAACTTGATTCAGTAATTAAGAGAAACTGGGCTGCTGCTCTGACCAGTTCATCCTGTTGTATCATTAGCCATTAGCGAGCACCAAGTCATGTGGTGTTCTGCAAATGATGAATATTTAGCCACCTCTTTACATCTGCACTGCCGATGCCTGACATGTCTGATGCAGTGAAACCTGCAATGCTGCAATGCTAAACTGATCATGAAGATGAAGCATGTTGATCTCGGTGAGTTGCCAAGGGGACTCGTGATCTCCCAGAGCACGATGGCCTGTTATTGAAGGACTGCATTTGACTGAAATGTAACATCTTGATGGCTTAAAAATTGATGGCTGTGAATACCACTAATGGTGAACACTGAGCACTGACTTAGTCCAGCTTTCATCAAACGAATGGCTCAAAAGCATAATTCAACATCAAAGTCATTCAGCTGTATCGTGGTCAGTCATGAATGATCAGTTAACAAAATGACAAAGTGTAATCAATACTCAAGGCCCATATACTAAGTTTTTCTAAAAAACATACTGTACATGCATACTTGCAGTAAAGGGGTTACTTCTTGGTATATATAATCTTTTACAATTATAGGATAAAACAAGAACTTTGGATTTCAACAGACTTGCATATCTTTCCATTCATCTATGCCTGTGTTTCTGAAGAAGTTTCTCCAAGTAAAACTCACAAGCACATTGTTTTCATTAACAAAAATCCTGTTTTTAAATGTAACAAAAAAACCATAATGTTGTGGTGAGAAAAGTTCTTATGTTACATACTCTATGACCCTGTTGTTACAAAGACCAAAGTTAATAGTTCAATATTACTATAATTGTTTTTCAGAATTATTACCCTTCTTTAAAACTTAAATGAATAATTAGCTCAATAATTTATAAACTAACTTCCTTTTGTTTTGGCATTCGTAAGTAGCATTCCAAGTGAAAAGATTAGGCAAATTGAAATCAGTGTATTCTCATGAAAACTTCTAAAAACCACCACTCAAAAAGTGCCTTTTTTCTGAAACTCCTCGAATACAGTGCATTTTATTCTGTTTAGCTGTATCCAAGATGGAAAGTCCATTAGAATCTTGGCAGATATTTCCTCTATTATCATATCCTATAACAACGGAGTAACAGGAAGTTCACTATAAGTGTTCACACTAAATTACCTAAAGTGAAACGATATATCCTCCTGAGGAAGTTAGTGCTACTGTAAACTGAAAATGGCACAAAGCAAACTGCTCCATCCAAAGTACACATTCAGCTTCATAACCAGCAATGGGATGACAAATACACACAATACCATGGAAAATCTAAGATGGAAAGCGATTTTCTTACAACTGGGTATGGCACGCAACTCTCATGTGGGGGTTGGGCGTATAACAATAGAAACAGAAAACCTTAAGGAAACAGCATAATTGAACACATAACTGAGCACAGCAGTGAAGAAAAAAGCACATGTTTCTAAACGGAGTACTGCGGAGCTCTTTTCGTGATTCAGGCTGATTCATCAAAAGTGTTTGTTCGGGCATGAATAGAACAATCCACTCAGTTTTGACATACAGTATGTGCAGGAGCATTCTATTCATAATCTAGTTGCTATGGATTTTAACTCTACAACTTTACGAACAGAGCCAATGGATATATCACTGTGCGGACTGTAAAGGAACAAGCAGAGGTTAATTCCAAACAGTGGAGAGAAGAAAGAACACAAAAAACCCACACTTAAACAACCCAAAATATTATTCTTGTGCAGAATTAAGTTTAATATTAGCCTGACCACATGAAAGCATGATACAGATCAAATGCTATAAAGCAAATTCTAAGAACTGATGTCACAAAATACCGTCTTGCTAATTTCTATAGCTGTCAGATGTGTCAAGTGTTAATAAAAAGTAATTTTGAATATTAACCATGTAACTACAAGATGCTTGATGCAACTTAACTTTATCTAAATGAAAATATAAAATGAAACAAAAATGAATTAATCCTTATTGTAGCCTAAGCCAATTATCATATTAAAGGTATTGAAGAATGTAATTCTAGAATTCAGAATTAATACACTGTAGCCTCTCTGAATTGTTTGATGTGGAGGATTTTTACTGGTCCAAATATTTTCTTTAATAAATGTTTAAGAAACTAACCTACTCATCACTAAAAAAGCCTTATTTTGGATAAATAAGTGACGTAAATCTGATAAACACGTCTTACTCTGTTTAAATTAAAATATTTTATGATTTGCATATGCTTCTTTCCCATAAATATTTAAAGACTCTGAAGTGCATATGAAAAAATCATCTACAGACAGTTCTTAAGCATCCAAATATTTACTGGACTAACCTCAAACCTGTAAAACAATTAAGGAAGATTGTCAGAAAGAATAAATTATAAACCCACAATAATGTGACAATGAAAACACCAAATAATACAAATGATTGAATTTGTGAAAGTCCAACAGAATGTCATTAAAGGAGAAAAAGGACATGACTGATTATGTACATGAGTCATCTGAACTGCAACAGACGATATCAGTTTTACTTCAAGAGATGTCTAATTTAAATAATAATTTTCCTCGTTATTGCTTACTAAACTTTAAAATAGGGTTCAGATGTGAATGTTTAATTAAGAATCCACCTAAAAGGTTTTACTAATATAACCACTAAAACAAAGATGGATACTGCAAACTATACTATCTGCTATAGAAAACATAACAATATACAATGTGTTTATTTACAGGAATGCATAAAAGTGGCACTAAAAACTTGACACTTACTCTGGTAGAGACCGCCTAATGATTGAATGGACTTGTCTGAAAACATCCAGTTTTGACAAGCAGCGGCACAAGGTATGGTTGGCAAAGCTGATTGTCACTGGTTTTGGTTCTTGAGACAGTGGTATGGTAATTTCAAATAGCTACAAGGGAAAAAAAAGAATAAGATCAGTAAAAGTAGATGTTTAAATGATCATCTTATTTTTTTAAGAAACAAAACTGTTGTCATGTTGCAAAAGAAAAGTTTCCTTTTCTTTTTGTCTGTGTTGTTTAAAGCAATTCAGCTTGTGTATAGTAATGGAAGTTATTAACACCAGGCTTAAACATGCAACTAATAATCTGAATGTACTGTAGGTGACCACAAGCCAATTTCAATAAAAAATAAGCAGACATAATGGATATTAATGAATACTATAGCTAGTCACCACCTAATTCTCCACTAAATTATTAAATTTAGTGCATACATGGATTGTAATTTATTTTATAGAATCTGAATGTTGCTTTAAGTATGTAGATTGTCTTTATAACTTTCAACTGGAAGTACGTTCATCTGTCTTTTCCTACAGAAGTTACTGTACTTAAAAGTACTGCAACATCATTTTCTGATCCTTGCGGTAATTGAAAAAAAAATCCCGTTGACCCTTTCCCAGCTTCACACCAAAGCACTCAAACATTTGGCACAACAACAGAGCTCTACAACCTCAAAAACTTGGCATTCTTTCGCTGGGCCTGCTATAAATATTAAAACCATATCTCTTTACGTGATAGGGATCTAGCTACAACGAGATGATCTGACATTACAACTTGACCTAGGAACTGACACCACCTAACTAACAGGGAGGTACTCTTCCCTTCACAGGCTAATTTATGAACATTTACGTATGAAACACATATGATTTTCTAATCTATAACATAAACACTTGAACTGAATTCACTAGTTTTGAAAGAAAATATTGTAGGTGTCATAACTCCTTCATACCTCTTTCCTAAACTGACATTTAGATGTTTGTAGACAAGGCATAACAAAGTGTGCATACTGTAGGACACACACAAAAGGGACTCACAAGGGTAACAATATACTGTAGACAAATTAAAGGCAGGATTAAAGGTATTTACTGCATGGCATGAAACAAGCACAGAATTCTAAGACAGACCTCCTTTGCTTCTGATGAATTGTTAAAAATAACCTCGTTAGGGTTTTCCAAACATGAATTTCCAAATTCACATTTTCTGAAAACCAGAAGGCCCCCTCACGTCTACTCATCTTGCAGGCCGTTCAAACTGGCACGGGTTTCTGCAGAATTATTGTTTTAAGTGAATTTCTGTTTGCCCGGTTTACTCGGATAGTTGTCCAGGCAACTGTTTTGCAGTTTTACAAACATTTGTCTGTCCGGATGCTTGAGAGGAAGTTCTCTTTGGATTATTTCCATTCTACTCATCTTGAAAACTATTTACATTTCATGATCTTTTCTGTTATTTTTATTTTATGCTTAAACATCCAGCATACTAAAGGAATGCTCATATTTGTCAGGAAAATGATTTTCTTACAAAACGTGCACACAAGGTGTCTTTGTTTCATACTATTGCTATGTTCTGCCAAGATAGCACAATCTTTAAACGTGAATAGAAGTAACATTTTAAACAAGTACTACGTTTTGATATATTTTTCATATTACAGAAGATAAAACAGCCTATAAAGGTACTTAAAATGTGTGAAGCACTAGGACCAAGTAGAGCCAGTGGCAGTACTGAGTTCTGCTGTTTCAACTTTAGCTTCACTTCACATACACTCTTCTTGTGAGTCAGGGAATTGAGATGTTGGTCTATAAAATGTGTATATGGACACAGCTCTGACATAGTGCATGCCCCATTGAATGTTTACAGCCAATGAGACTGAAATCAGGGCAATATGGGATATCTGACTTGCAATATAAACTGACTGCATTTACAAATCTCCGTCAGGCTCAATAACATAAACGGTTTCCATTCTAGTGTAAGACTAGCTACACTAACACTGGGGGAGCTAGTGAAAGTTTTCCTCTTATGAGTACACAGACTTACATTTGTGATGTTTTGTTTAGGTAAATGAGCCTGTTGTTTTGTTTGTGTCTGGCTCATAGACCACCACATGGAATATTTTAAGTAGACTATCTACCAGAAGGAGGAAATATACTTCTACTTCCTACCTAATGAGCTTAAGATGTTGTCTGATTTGATCTAAAACAGAAATGAACAATTTATCATGTCTGCTACTTCCACTTCTTTCCAGGATATGTATTTGTATAATTACTACTGTTTGTGCCATATGGCTCTATTTTTAGGATAGTTAACTATGACTTGATTAAAATAATTGTACAGCTCTGTTAACTGCTTGGACGTTCACTCTCAACAGGGTGGAACAACTGAGTTCACTTAGGTCAAGCAAGACACCACAGGAAGTTTCACCTGCGTGATTCCAATCACAAAACATGCAGTTAATCATAAGACAACTTACAAGACGCAACACAGAACAATATTTTTTTTATTGCTCATTTAAATCCTTAAAAGATGTCAAAAAGCATCTATCCGCCTTGTGGACTGTGGTACTGTACGTCTTGATCCTTCCAAACGAAACACTTGCAAAGGAACTTACTGTTTTGCTGATGTAAGAAGTACTAAGGTTCCTGCACTGATACTCCTCACTGTTGCAGCAGCCCCCACATCTGTAGACAGACACGCAGGGTGGTTTATAGAAGGTGTTTGTTGCAGCCCCAAACTCTTTTCCCACATCTAAACAAACTTCTCGTGGCATGCACAGGGTCTTTCTCCACTCAGATTCAATACCTGTTAAATGCACGTTGAGAGATGAGACAGCAGAAAGGGACGATCAGGAAGACTTTCAAAGCTTGTGGCTCAAGTGTCAAATTTTGCTCCCCTTTTTACTTCCTACAGACGGAACCCGGTTATTTCCGAACTACAGTTTTCAGGGAAAAAAAAGAATCCACTCTGCGTTGTGCAAAATTTGAGCCATTGAGTTTTCTAGCTGCTTTTAGAAAACCAGGAGCAAAGTTTCCTCTTGAACAAAAAGCTTTGAACATTGTTCTGTGTACAGTATGTATATATAAGAAAATATTAATTTACAAGAGTCTAATGTTTATTGTTAATAATATCAGCATCGTATAGACAACTCAATAAATATTTTACAGAGCAGGAATAAGTTTATTAAACTTGATTTTTTTAAGAAAACAATAATTACTTGACATTCCTTAAGAACAATATGCAGTGGTGGAACCTTCAAACATGTGAATTAATTGTTTGCAGTCGTTATCTCGTTATCCAAGTGTAAATTTAACCACAGCACAGGAATTATAATTATAATATGAATTATAATAAATATATGGAATTATCTTTGGGTACAGACCACATAAAAATAATTGTATTTTTTGTGCTACTCAATTTTCAGCAAAAGAAACCACAGAAGGAGACACAGACAACAACATATTTTACAGTACATTGTTAAATAGTTTCTATAGTACCTGTAAGTACATGTAACAGGGATAAAACATTTTCCAAAGATTTTACATTTTCAGAGATCTTGAAATACTCTGTTGAGTTTGTGTTATCTTCTGTTCAGTTTGCCTAGGTTCTATGACTTAAAGGAGACCTGCAATGCTATGGCTGTCTGAAGCTGAGCAGAAACAACCCTTCAACAGCCATAGAAGCAACAATTTTAAAAGTTGCAAGACTTTTCGATGCACATAATAATACAACTGTTCATAAAGATAAGAGAAACACGGACCAATGGATTGTCAAGAGTAACAAGATCTGCCTCAGACATTTCGTGAGAATGACACGTCTTTCCAATGACTTCAAGGAATCTCAACGTATATCATGGACACACCCTAGGCCTTGTAAGGTTAAAATCCATACTGTTTTGAGTGTGATGCATGATTAAGAAATGCAACTTGCTTTTAGACGTATCCAGATTCAATGGTTTTACCAAGAAGTGTCCAAACCAGATTGAATTGGGCCAAAGGGCTTTCCTGTATCAGAAAATTGAAATAAGAAAATCTGGTGAATCCGATTTTCAAATGCATTGGACATCTCCGAGGCATCACTGATTGTGAGGTTGACGTTCATTGTACACAGTCCTCAAACCTAGTGGACCTTAAGCAGAAGCTGATCAGAGCGTGGACTGCCACTGCCTTGGGTCAGATTCAAACTATGATCATAACAATGAGCAATCAATGAAACACAACAACCATCATTATGGCAAGGATTGGACACAACTATGACTGTTTCACCTGACCATGCCCAGGCAAGGTGATAACTTGAATTAAATTGCTTGTAAATGATTGAGGTGTACAATGGTAACATCACAGTATTACAGCTTATAACGTCACGATGGGTCTATGTCCCATGTATGGTTTCTTTTGCTGGAAAGAACAATATTATTAGTTTAAACAGGTGAACAATTTTAATTTATAACTGTCCTATATTACTCAAGGGATAAATGAGTAACATCAAGACTTGATCAGAAAGCACACAAAATGCAATGCATGCACCCCACAGAAAGCTGCACCCACTGTACCCTTGAGGATACCTGGACGCACTGGCATTTACAAAAATTAAAAATTGAAGATTCTCTTTAGATGCACAGCATGAAATTACCTTTCACAACAACTTACTTTTTAAAATTTCAAAGTTATAAAATGCTGCAGCAAATATCAAGGGCTCCTCTGTTCTTGAGTCAGAGGCACCTTGATCTCTGAAATGCATACGCCCTCCTCGTTTTGACTGACATTTTAACATAGTCCAGTAATTTGGATAGACTATTTTCATGAGCTCATCAACGCTGGACACAGACCGCAAACGCTCTTCTAGATCTGGTGTGGCATGGTCCTAATGAAAACAGAAGAAAACACAGAAGATTAGTTCAGAAGAAATACAGCAGCCTTAAATCTTTTGTAACGTATCGTACAGTATATTAGCAGTTGTACATCTAGACCTTGTAACTTGACTCACATTTGAACATAGAGGTTACGGAGCTGGGTTGTACAGGTTCTGAAGTGTACAAGATGGGGAAAGGGGCTCTTCTTTATGGAAAAAGGATTTTTCTCACATCGCAGGAGTTTTGGCATTCAGCTCCTGCCAGAAAGAACCCACCATGCCCCCTCCCTGCTGAGAGGTCTACAAAAAGGGTCACCCATGCACAGTCTCATTGTTGGAATAGCAGCACTGCTAGTGTAGCGTTTGTTCATCTGTGTCTAAAGACACAGTGCTTTGTGCATTATGCTCTTTGTTTTCTCTCTGAGCTGTTCACTGTGTGTAGAGTTGAGGAGCACTGCTTCTTGAAAACCCACTGAAAAAACGAGCTTTATTCGCAATATAATAATATTTACATTTCTTCACATCAAAGAAGTATTTTTGTTTGAAACACCATCCCGAAAAAAGTTATTCAGGCACTTTTTAATAACAGGAAAAAATGTGAGACAGTCATAAGTCCCAGTTTATATTCAGGTCTATTGACTTCAGAAAAAAAACAATGCATACACCAAACATGGCAAAAAATGTTAATTACAATTTTCTCTCAAGAAACACAGGAATAGAATCTACTTTTTTTGAAATACTATATTCTTCAAGAAAATCATATCTTAGGTTTACTGTAGGATAAACTTCACTACTACTAAGAAGGCAGTTCACACTGAAGCAGAGTCTATTCTGTAGAATCAAAAACATAACTCAAATTGTTCCCCAGCTTTGAGAATTGTACAGGCAAATCTAACCATTTCCCTTCATTAACTATAGATACTCCTGAATACTCCTGATTAAATCCAACGCAGCATTTGGACTGAAGCATTCAGAAGAAGGTCAGGGTTTGGACTTTGCAAAATCACTTTATAAACGCAGAAACAGCAAAAAGAGTGGTGTAACTGTTACAAACACAATATCATGTCGAAATTGTGGATTAGGACATGTTTTTATTTTGGAAATTATCAATTATCAGAGGACTTGGTACATAAATATGGGTGTTTTTAGTTCTATAAAATCAGCCAGTATACACAGTTAATATTTGTTGTTCCAAAAAGTGTCTGTACAGTATACAGTATGACATACTGTTGATTACAGGTACACAGGTGCCTTTCTGTCTATATACTGTACAGTATATCACAGCTCTGGGGTCCTGGGTTCAGTTCTGAACTGGGACCCCAGCTGCATGGTGTTTTCTACAGGTTCCTCTTCTCTTGCTTTCCACAGACATAGTGACATGGTGACTAAGTTAATTTATTAAGAAATGACTTTATTAAAAGCTTAAGTTGTCCCGATGTGCCATTCGGTTCAGAATATACTGTAGTTGAGCTACGAGTGTACATGTGGCCCTTTTTCTCAAAAGATGTGGATGCAAAATCCCATTCATTCTATTGAGTTCCATTATCTTTGTTATAGAACATATCAGTCAACTGTGTAGTACTCAAAAACTCCTGGAACAAAGGGATAATGAAATATCATCTTTCCAAGACAAGAGGTGAGGGTTATATTTATATTTCATTGACTACATTACATATGTCTTTACTCTTTTCGAAGAACACAAATCCAAACATAACACTTGACACCACATAGATGTGTTAAAAAGCCTGTCCAAAGAACACATGTATTTTCAGAATCTTTTGTCAGATGCTATTGCTGGTCCTGAACGAATAAGGCCCCAGTGATTCAGGTTTTTTTCTCAAAGGAATACTGCATGCTCTTACACTCTATACTTTAATTTCCACACTTAATCTTGTTTTGTAAGTCTGCCTAGAAGTCTATTTCCCGTTATGCTTTGTAAGGCTGCCTAGAAGTCTATTTCCCGTTATAAACAATATCTACAGTATAAGAAATGCAAAACATCTGCATGACCTCTGCAACATGGCTGCAGAAATTATTTAAAATTGCTAATCATGACAAGGAAACGCAATCATCACATAATAAGAAATATTGATTACTGTGCTCTAAAATTTGCTCCTAATTTGTACACATAAAAATTAGTTGAGATTCAACCTCAGAATAGTAAGTATGAAACATCTTTTTTAATTTGACCATAGTATTTTGCACTATTACTAATATTTTCTAAGAATCCTCTGCATGCCAAAGGCTTCTTGCTTTGCTACCAAACAGAAACTTAGTACCAGAAACTTGGTTTGCTGTTTGTAATAGGAATAATGATGATACATTTCTGGTTTAATCTGAGATCTGGTCAAGAATATGGAAAATTCAAACAGACAGAACTCAAGATACAACATTATCTAAATAATTACTCCAAGGTTAGTTTAGGCAAACAAGTCTTGAATTACTAAACATATAATTGCATACAGTACATGCACAGAAACACAGACATCTTTTAAGCAAAATTTTAAAAAGAAACAGAATTAATACATGCTTATTTTGACCAGTGATAATACTGGTTTCACTTACTGTATATTACCTTGAAATAGATACATTTTTTGCATCTTTACAAGCCTTTTGAACTCAGATACAGATATTTTAAACATATTTAAGCAATATGGGATTTTCTAAGTCTCTGAAGTAAGAATTACTTCACAGTGAGAATATATTAGGCTACAATTCTAACATGCCCAATAATGCAATTCCAGCTGCAAGCGGTGATCGTTGGTGGCCAAAATACACATATTGCTTTTCACAGACAGGGAAGATTTATGATTGAGCAAATATGGCTTTTTGTATGTCTTTGACTAACCCTAAGGAGTTATAACACAGTTTTGCATCTGACCTTTGGATGAGGTCAAAGGTCACAAATGGCACTATAACCATGACCATGACCCTATCTGCACTTCTGTTAGGAGTTAGAAGATTTTGCCTGTGACCTTTAGGAAAGGTCAGAGATTATAGACATGGTAATTAGTTTGCAAGAGCACAAAAAGGTTCCTATTTGTCTTCCATGATCCTACTTGCACACAAACATGGAGTAACAAACTTATTTTTCATTTGACCACAAGGATATCTCACAGATTTTATAAGGCAATCATTTCATGAGACTATTTAGTTTTATTCAGTTCTTGACTGTAATGCTCCTAAGCTATAATGCAAACAGTATACTGTATATGGGGACGAGCATTGCTGGAAGGTAATCCCTGTAATGGGTCAGCATCTCATCGAGTGAAACAAATCGTGTGCTCTCCCATTTGCTTAACGCCATGGAAACCAACATGAGCTCAGGCCCAATGAGCTGATGTGGCTCAAATATGGAAATTACTTATATGTCCAAAAAGCTAAAAGGCATTGTTTTCTACAAAAAAATGCAAATCTATTAGAAATTAACCCTTATCTTAAAAGAGAGGGAACATTTCTGTCGAAGAAAAACAACAGAATAGTGTTTCGGGATATAAAAGAAAAAAACAGACTAAAATGAATAGAACAATGCACAATTTGTATAACTACTTAAGACAGAGATGTGCACGCATCTTATTTTACCACATAAGGAAAGAGAAGTAAAATAATTCCACATTTTTTTCCTTAAAATACAGTATTTCAGCTTTTGTGTTCATTGCAACACTTAAAATTAAACCCAACTCAATACTTGCAAAACACTTGACTCATTTCTAACAGTCTTCAGCATTCTACTGCCTTGTATTCAGTTCAGGGCTTGCTTGTCTCAGTCCTAGAGGTGTCTTCTGGTACTCATTTCACTTGAACCTTTATTTAATTGAACTAACAATTCGCTTCATTTAAACTTTTTTCAACTGTTCTGTCTTTCAGTCCTAAAACCGCAGGCAAGGTTGAGATTGTTGAGTTATAAAATTGTATGAGTGATGTGAAATCACCAGCTGTTAAGGGGTAAAAAGCAGTGCAAATTATATAATTTCAAAACATTTTGATGAATTAAGACATCCATTGAGAAAATGAATGAACTGTGGGTACAACAATAACTTCAATCCTAAGAATAGAGTTTAGGAAGCCCTGATTTAGTTTCTCAAAAACGTGAAAAAAACATGATTATTTAGTAAGCTGAGCAGGGTTTTTGCTTGGTCTGGGAATTCACTTTAAACATAAGAGTTTTAGTGTGAAAATGCAAGGTGCAAGTCTTTTGGGATGCCTCCTTGCGAAGTGTGAAAACATGAAGACTGCTACATGGGATGCCAGAGATCGCTGATGAAAACTGATACTCCTGTATGGAACATTCCAGGAAACATGACCATTTACCCTCACGACTGATCGGCCTCAGTGACAGAACCTGAAAGATGCATCTCCAAGGACGTCAAGTAAAAGCTTTCAGAAGGATTTATTTTCCCCTCTTTTATTTACAATGAATCACCAGCCTTAACCGAGTAATGTCAACCTCCTGATTAACCATTATGCACATACAAGCTGTATGTTAAATAGTAATATTAGTTATTACATTTATATAGAGGTCATTAATAAATTCATATTGTGATACGGTGCATTAGTTCAAAAAAGAAAAAAAATTAAATGTGATGCAGCCCCTATATTTCAGATTACAAGTCAAAACATCTAAAACACACATTATACCTCTGAGGCTTACTTGATTTTGTTTGATTGATTTATTGCAACAATGTAACACATTCTGACAAAAGTTAATTCTACAGAGAATGCAAAGTCTGTGATGATGTCCCAGACATCCTGTTTGTAAGTAACCTTTAAGTTAAGTGAACCTTTTTTATGTTTGCTTCCTGGAAGATTAGACTCATTAATGAACACATCCATCAATTAAATTGGCAATATCAGACAGATAAAGTATAAAATGCAGAGAGGGCAGAAAGCTATCATGCACCTCTCACATGGGGATCTAGTTTGCACCTAATTACTTTGCTTTCATAATCTCCCTTCATACTGTTACATTGATACTTAGACATGTTTTAAAACATTTCTGTCCCTGGCTTTAT